CATGGTAAAAATATACTAATAAAGATGGCAATAATATTAATGGATTTATGGTAGACAATTGTCTTTATTGCCCAAGTACAAATTTGTAAAGGAGACAAAAATCGGTACGAATTTCTCTTTCAGGCTTAAACTTCTGTTAATTTTTCTCCATAAGACACTCAGATGCTCTGCCCTTCTCTCTCACACACACACTCACATGGGCTTAACACAAAAATATTTATTGGATTATTGACTTGGCTTGAAGTACCATATGCCAAAAAGGCTTATCTCTCTCTATTAGGAAAGCTTTGCAAAGAAATACAGTTCCCATGCTTTATTGTGACTTTTGGGAGAAGTCACAGAAAGCCACAATGCTTATTTCTACAAATGCTCTTAACTTAAATGAAGACATACACAACCTCTCCAAAGAACTTCGCGTGGAACCATTATTGCTTTCTTCGATGGCCATGAATTTCCCGAGATAATTGCGTTTAGTACTGGTGGAAATTATGGTAGTCCTTTTCCATGACATTCTATTCTCAATAGCTTTGAAGCTCTTTTCAGTTGGGTTAAAATGAGCGACTGTCATTTATTTGTTTCACACAATGGCAAACTAAGCAAGGAGACCTCACAAAAAATCCAAGAAGTTTTATCCAAATAGGGAAGCAAACTTGGATGAAAGTTGTAGGGCGTGCCACTTATGGTGGAAAGTGGACATCCCGATTTCCTCTGTCCAACTAAGTCCAAGAAATCTGGAACAAGATGACAAGAAGTCCATCTGTTTGTGGTCCAGTCTAAGGTTTTCATCCATGCTTCCTCTCTAGCTTTTTTTCTTGGTGGATTAGCCAAAGGTGACTGGGTTTTGATGTTCCCATGACATAATTGCATCTCAAAGGTTGAGGGAGCTCATGATTCTTTGAGTCCCCAAAGATAGCGTTGTTTAATTGAAGGAATCTGCTGTTCTGACCTAGACTTTCCCAGCAGCAGCACGAAGCTGAGTCCTTGTCGTGATAAACCCCTTTAATTTACAGTGAATTCCTCTCAAGCAAAAGCTTTCCTCTCCCACAGTCTTTCAAGATAGTTCACAATTACCGACCTTTATCAGGCTTGGAGAGTGGCCAGGCCGATATCTTTCAGATGCCACAATACTTGGCAAGAATGTAGGAATGAACTAATTGTCTCCTGTAAACTCCACTCGCCTCTCGCTCCTCTTTTATTCCCTCTGGGAGGGGCCATTCATCGTCCACCTGTAGCCTTACTCCCAAGTCGACCCTTGTTCTTTAGCTGTTCCCTTCGTCTGGCAACTCTGTGCATGCACACACTGGGAACAGGCTCCAGCTGTTCCTCTGCCTCACTGATGTCTGACTCCAAAGGCATCTGATAACTGGAATACGGTCCTGGCCCTATCTCTGCTTCCGATGCAGAGCCCTCATCAGAGCCTTCCCCAGACTCCAGGACTGGCCCATGTTCCTCCCCAACCTCCTCACTGTCCGAATCTGCTGCCAGATCTGCTGGCCGCTGGCGGGCCCCAACATCTGCAACATGCCAATTCCATTAGTTCTTGTTGGACAGGTAGAAACCGAGAGAGTAGTCACTATCTCAAATCCCTTAATGTAGCAAGACTGTTGATGCCACCTTCGCCAGAAGTTCCTTCAAGCACACCAAGTATGGACTTGTGGCAACCCAGAGAGGGAAGCTCATCGTTCATTTGAAGGACATAAGACTTCCTTCAGCTCACCATCCTTCTACCTCGGTTTGGACATCAAGGACGGTGGCGAGTTTTTTTTAAAAAAGAAAGATTTATATGGAGCGCGGAAACAACATGATTAGTTAATTTCATGCTTAATTTCTTTCCTCCAAGAAGGTACAAATAAACAAGGAGAACACAGAAAGGATGAGACCTCATTTCGTATTTAGGTTCCTTGTGACTTAATGGGAAAACGCTAGAAGATTATTATTTTTTTTTACCAGCCATTTGCTCTGTTGATGGGACTTCCATTTTCCCCTGAAAATAGTGATGGATGAGCTAATTATTTCCCTCTCCTTTTTTTCTCAGGTTAATATTTGAGGTCTTTGCATGAGATTTTGTGTTTAAAATTTCAAGTTTGGTGCGTGTTTATTCAGAAGCAGATAGTATATAGTAGTATAGTATAGCAGAGCCTTTAATGTCATTGTACATCATATATACAATGAAATTGGTTTAGCCTCTCTGGTGCAATCCATAACAGAAAATACAAAACAACATAAATAGTATAGAGAATAATTCCTATACAAGTAATTAGGGGGGGGGGGGGGGGGGGAAGGCTAGCCGTACATTTCCATATGTTGTGTGGAGTGATTGTGATTGTGTTTAGGAGTCTGACAGCCCAGGAGTGGAAGCTGTTTTTAAACCTGTTTGGCTGGCTGGCTATACTTTGATGTCTTCTGCACGATGTAGAAGTGAAAAGAGACACTGGCCAGGGTGTGAATCATCCCTAAGTATCTTCCTTACTTTGCTGAAACAGCGAGACCAATGGCGATGTCATCCAGGGGTGTTAGAGGGCAACTGATGGTTTCTTGTGCCAAATTGACCACTCTCTATAGTGCCTTCCTGTCCGCAGCTGTTAGACCAGCATACCATACTGTTATACAGTATGTGAGGACACTTTCTATTGTGGACCGCTAGAAAAGTCATCAGCTGTTTGTTCTGACCTAGGCTTCCCCAGCGGCACGAAGCCGAGTCTTTGTCCCGATAAACCCCTTTTATTTAATTTACAGTGAATTCCTCTCCAGCAAAATCTTTCCTCTCCCACAGTCTTTCAAGATAGTTCACAATTACCGACCTTTATCAGGCTTGGAGAGTGGCCAGGCTGATATCTTTCAGATGCCCGCAATACTTGCCAAGAATGCAGAAATGAACTAATTGTCTCCTGCAAACTCCACTCCCCTTTCGCTCCTCTTTTATTCCCTCTGGGAGGGGCCATTCATTGTCCACCTGTGGCCTTACTCCCAAGTCGACCCTTGTTCTTTAGCTGTTCCCTTCATCTGGCAACTCTGTGCATGCACACACTGGGAACAGGCCCCAGCTGTTCCTCTGCCTCACTGATGTCTGACTCCAAAGGCATCTGATAACTATCTGACAGCCCTGGCCCCCTCTCTGCCTCCGACGCAGAGCCCTCATCAGAGCCTTCCCCAGACTCCAGGACTGGCCCATGTTCCTCCCCAACCTCCTCCCTGCCCGAATCTGCTACCAGCTTTGCTGGCCACTGGCAGGCTGCAACACTTGTTCTACCTGACTTTTCTGCAGGACTCTAAGGAAATGAAGTCTCTGTTGAGCCTTACTAATCACCAGGGATGCATTGTTTTTCCAGATCAGATCTTGACTAATGAGCACTCTCAAGAATTTAAAAGAGAAAACCCTCTCCACATAGCCCCCTCAATATATACAGTGGGGCAGGTTCCTCTCGCATCTGAATCTTGATTCTGCGGAAACAGCAGAATAAGAAACCATAAATCCTTCAATAACCGAGAAGAGCTCAGACCGTATAATCTTAACTTTACAGGTAGAAGCTCACACTTTAAAAATGTTCCTTTAAGTAAAATCTTTGGGCAGATAAAAAATTAGCACACCAGGAAGCAGACCGATTTATAAAGCAGGAAGTCTTCTTTTGAAGTAATTTTTCCCCCTATAATTAAAATATACCACAACTTCTCAGATCTGACTACTTCCTACTACTTAAAAATGTTGTTTTAGATAGTTCTTAATACAAGGTAAATTTTCTTCTGGCTGCTTTTGGGGGGTGGGGGGGGGTGGGGGGCAGGGTTCCACAGATGCCGCATTGCAATTTGATGCAATTGTGCCAAATCCTTCAGCTCTTGCGATAAAACCCACAGAATTGCTGCATTTTCCCCCCTGTTCCTCTTCAGTTTTTTCACAAGCCCTTTTGTGAAAAAGAAGAGGTGAGAAGGGGATTCGCAAAGGGCTAAACTTAAATCGCTTATCCAATTTATTGCTGACACATCTTTCCTGCAGTTTTTCTTTTAAGCTTATTGGTTCATTAGCCACATGGAGGTGCTATTCCATTGTAAATGATCCCTTCGACTTTCTTCATCGCAGTTGAGAATCACCAGAAATTCAGTAAATCCAAGGTAGAAAACTGTTCCTTCTTTTTTTTTTTTTGAGAACATTTTCTTTACATCATCTTGCTTAATTTCCTACTGCATCTGATTTTTTTTGCATTTAAGTCAGTGACCCACACCCATCGCATTTTCTTTGAAATAATACTTTTCACCAAGTCCGTAACTTCAAATAACTTACCGTATTTTTTGGAGTATAAGATGCACATTAGTTTTTGGGGACGAAAACAAGGGGGAAAAAATCCTGCCTCTGTCTCCCAGCATCCATAGGTGTTCATCTGGCTAGTATCTTGCAGCAAACAGCCTGGTCAGCTTCAGCATGTTATCACAGCCTGATTCAGCACAAACAGCTGATTGGCGGTTGGCTTGGCCTCTCAGAATACTGCCAATCAGCTGTTCCAGGCTGTGGGGATAGCCACAGCCCATCGCCACCTCAGTGCAACACATTTTTGGCCTCTGCGCATCGCATGTTTGGTCTCCACACGCTCCGTTTTAGACCCGTTCCAGGCTGCCAGGATCGCCACAGCACATCACTACCAATTGCCGCCTTCGTGCATCGCGTTTTTGGCCTCTCACATTGCATCTTTGGCCGGTTCCAGGTGGCGGGGATTGCCGCCGCCGATCCCCGCCACCTGGAACCAGCTGAAAATGCAATGCATGAAGGCAAAAAAACAGGGCGTGCAGAGGCCAAAAATGTGACGCGCGGAGGTGACGATCGGCGGTATCGTGCTGTGGCAATCCCCGCAGTCTGGAACGGGTCTAAAATGGGGTGTGCGGAGGCCAAAAACATGACACGCAGAGGCCAAAAACAGCCGAAGGGTGGGGGCCAGTGGGTAGCGAGGTAGGCAAGATTCACCACAATTTTCACCCACTTTTGGGAGGGGAGTGCGTCTTATACTCCAAAAAGTACGGTAATTGTTTTGATCCAGGTGGGTTAACAAAACATTTTGTGACTTTTTTTTGCTGTTGGGTTCCCTTTTTTTCCCCCTTTGTAATCCCCCCCCCAAATACTGCTTGCTTCTATTAATCTTTCTCTTTCACCTCAGTTGTTTCTCTTGTACATTTTGCAGTTTGGATACATCGATGGGAAATATAGATTGGATGAAGGACACCAAATATCTTGAGTCACCTTGGCCAAATTTGGACCAGTCCTACCTGGTGCAATTTATCTCAAGGTGGGAGGATAAGAATAAGGTGAGGACCAAGTATGAACAGATGGGAGTTTCTTGGAGGAAAAAATGGATAACCAGGACTATTTTGGGATCTAAAGATTCAGCATGTGTCTATCATATTATATTAGAATTATGCTACTAATAATATTATATTAATAGACCTATAACAGTGTTCAGAAGGATTTCATAGTTGAAGAAATTAATGAGAGAAAAATGCTTAATAAAAACTATTTTTTTAAAAAAAGAAATTAATGAGAAAAAAAGAATCTAAGACAGAGTTCTTTATAAGGGCATAATAAAAGCAAAACTGAAATTAATTCAAGTGAGAAGAAAATGATGACAGCAGAGCCCAATGTGATTTCATAGCTAGATTAATGATCTGAATATTTTTTTTAAGACACCTAAGATATAAGGTTAAAAAAAGGGAACCGTTGATCCAAGAAGAATTCAAAGTTATAGACATGGTGGCAACTAAACAAATGAAATAAAGTGGGCAAATGTTTTGCAGAATTTATTTAATTATAAATCAACTCAGCACAATTCGTATTTTTTTTCTTACTCATCCCTATCAGTTCCCTAAGAGAACCTTTCTAACGTCGCCCGACATTCAGATGTTTGGTAAGACGTAATCCTGGATAAATATCTAGCTAGGATCTGCATCTTGCTTGTGATAAAATGCATTCCTTTCTGACAATCACCTGTCCAATCCTGACATACCATATTTTTCACTCCATAAGACACACTTTTTTTGTGTCCCAAAAGTGGGTGGAAACGCCTGTGCGTCTTATGGAGCGAATATTGCCAAAGCCCCACTCATCCGCTGGCCCCCATACTTTAGCCGTTTTCGGCCTCTGCATGTCCCGTTTTTGGCCTCCGCACGTCCCATTTTTGGCCTCTGCGCAGGACTTATGTTTAAAAAGGACTCTCTGTTAATGCAAATAATTTTGTTGATCCAGTGAGCCATTCAGATTGTCTCTTCTCTTTTTCCACTTTCCTCTGATCCAGAATAAACTTTCCCAGAGGCTTCTACTACTCGCCTTCCTTTTCATATTGTTAAACAGAGGGAAAAGAATTGTATTTATATGCAACCAGTATGTATTATTTCAAAACCATAAAAAAAGCGAAAGTTAGAATATTTTGGACCTGTGATGTGACATCCGAAAAAAAATACAGCATCCTTCATGCAATCCTCCAGGGAAAGATTGAAGGCAAACGAGGTCCAGGCAGAGGAAGAGGAATATCATGGCTTCAAAATCTAAGAAACTGGTTTGGACAAAACTCAGCAGCACTTTTTCATGCAGCTGTTGACTTGAGTGTCACGAAGGGCTGAGAGGTGTTGACATTTTATCTTTCCCCAACTCCAGGGGGAAAGAGAGAGAGAGAGAGAGAAAAAAAAAAACTCCGCACATCTGGGAAGACACCAGAAGTTGCTTTGGTGTGCAGGTTTTGTGGGGGAAAAAATGCAGATACATTCAGAGTCTGATCTTGTGTTCCTCTGGGTTATTTGGGATTCAGGTTTGTTTCTGCTGATCCTACAGGTTGCGTCCCTCGTCAGCATTTTGTCCACAAAGAAGCAACGGCAGCAAAAAAAAAAAAAAAAAAGTAAAATAAAATCCAGAGTTTGATGAAAGAGAGTTAATTTTTTCCCCCCCAAACAAACGGTTCGGTTTTTGTAGTCATTTTTCTTTTTTGCGAGAGACGAACTCCGTTAATTTGGTTCTCCAATAATGGATGGATTGGCCACTTGGAGGAAGGTAACGGAGGTTCCTAGACAGATGCAAAGAATTGCAAAAAAAACCCCACCAGCGGCTTTGTTGTGCAGTTGGATTTCTCTCTTGTGTTTTTTTTTTTTTAAATTGATTTTCTAGTAAATAAATTTCTTAGTGCTTTATAAACATCTTGTTGTCTGGGTTTTTAATTTGCTTAACAATACAAATTAGATTCTTAATCTCCATCCCTTTTTTCCAACTGTTGGTAAAATAAATTCCATGTTTGATAATATTCTACATCCTCTTTCTGTTTAATTTTCAATGTCAATCTAGCCATTTCTGCACAATCTAGTATCTCCTTGAATTATTTCTTCATCTCGCAACATAGCTCCATTCTTCCAATATTGTGCGAAAATAATCCTCGCTGCTCTTAAGAGATGCAATATTAAATACATACTTTCCTTTTCAAGTTTTTCTGATATTATATACCTAATAAAAACAATTCAGGTTTGTAATCTACATGTTTCCCTATCATCTTTTCTAACCACCTGTGTATTTTTATCCAATTTTTTTTTGCTTTGACACACGTCCACCACATGTGACAAAATGTGCCCATTTTTTGATTACATTTCCAACCACGGGGATTGTCAGGGTATGTAGATTTAATAGCTGTAAACTGATGGAAGGTTGTAAGTGGAGGCAACTGAAAGCTGATGCAATGGGAATGAAGCAGCTGGGTTACTGCTATTTTAAGCCGGTTACTGCGGCTTATATAAGGGAAGCCATTAGAGGGCGTTTCCTCCTCCTCATGTTCTCTCTCGTGTATCTCATTGCTCTCCTTGTGTCTGCAACAGTCATAAGTGTGAAGAACAATCATCGGTTGCTTTTTTTCAGTGCCGTGGTGACTTTGGTCACTAAATGAACTGTTGTAAGTCAAGGGCTACCTGTATTTCTTCATTCCTTCTTTTACGGTTGATGTCACAGCTCTCTAAGCTTTTCAGTATCTCCCTTTTTAATTCAAAGGCTGGGGTGTTTAGTTTCGGGGAGGGCTACCAAAAAGGTTTGGAGAGAAATGGAAATAATTTCGTGGCTGGCGGCTTCCTATTCAGCCTCTCGTTTGCTCATTAAGTCATGTAAACATTGGCTGTCTTTATCCTGATGTCAGATGTCTGAGCCTGTCAAGGAAGGTTTGATGGACCAGATGATAAGTGTGGCCAGAAGTGCCATCTTGCATATCAGAACGGAGGACGTGTCAAACCTCGTTCCCTTTATCTTGACAGGAGATAAAGCTATTCTTTCCCTGCCATCTGGCCCCGGCTTAACACGCATGTTCCAAGGTGGCCGGTTTCCCATTTCATTCAGACCGTCTACTCGTAGGTTACACATCGGATGAGCCAGCCGAATGCCCAGCGCAACAACAACACCTGGAAGCAGCTGGCTGGAGAAACTCATTTCTGGGTTTTCATTCGCTGCGGACCAAGGTGAGGTCAGAACAACTGTGAGACCCCGTGAACTGAACTTCCAGGTGAGTTTGGTAGCATCCTGTTCACACGTGGGAGGGTGGCAGAACCTTGGGGAAGTATTGATTGATGTGTTTCTTCAGTGAATTTATATATGGCCAGCCAGCTCGGCCATAGGTGACTCCTGGGTGGCGTATAATATTCAACATCAGAACATAAATCTAAACCCTTGGTGCTCCCTGAGCTTGGTTGTTTTCTCGCAGACGTTTCTTTACCCAGTTAGGTAACATCATCAGTGCTGCACTGATAATGTTACCTAGTTTGGGTAATGAAATATCTGCAAGAAAACAACCAAGCTCAGGGAGCACCAAGGACTGGCAGTCCTCCTTCTCTTCCTCCTCCTCCTCTTTCTCTTCCTCCTCCTCTTCCTCCCTCCTCTCCCTTCTTCCTCCTCCCATCTCTTCCTCCTCCTCCTTCTCCTCTTCCTCCTTCCTCCTCTTCCTCCTTCCTCCTCTTCCTCCCTCCTCTTCCTCCCTCCTCTTCCTCCTCCTCCTCTTCCTCCTCCTCTCTCTTCTTCCTCCTCCCGTCTCTTCCTCCACTTCCTCCTCCTCCCTCTTCCTCCCCCTCCTCCTCCCTAAATGATTTTACCATGCAAAGTTCAGGAGAGAGTTGATGCAAATCGTTAACGTGCATACTTTATATTGTGTTTTTTAAAGAGAGAATTGAAAATTAAAGGTGACAAAGGGTTGAATCCGTCTGTCATAATTGGCATTTGTTTCCCTTTCTGTTGTCTCCTCTCCTTTTTTAGGATCACAGCGGCAAGTAGAAATTCTAAGAAATAAAGGACCTTTTAAGATTGCATTCCTTGAAGATGGGGCCGCCAACGCTTTGATGTTTCTTTTCATTCTGGTTTCTAATTTATTTTCTTTGAGTGTGTCTGTCTGGTGTCTCTAATAACCTTTTACAAAGCGTAATAAATGGCCCTTCCCTCCCTCCGTCTCTTCAGAGAAAGGCAGTTTTAAAGCGGGACAAGAAGTAGTTTCTTAACTTACCTGCCATGTCATGAGACGATATATTTGCATATATGGTACCTCAGTCCTTGTAAATATTGATCACGTTTTCTTCGACCTTCCTCTCCTCATAGGCTTCGATACATACGGCAGCTCATTTAGTGACTGTTAAAACTTACAAGGGCAACGGGAAAAGTGACTTAAGACATGCTCTTCTCCCACGTAAAATTGGAAGTGTCTTGGCGACGTTTCGACGGCCCCCACCCAAACAGAACACACCCCCAGCCAATCAGAGCACAACCAACCCCCCATCCAATCAGAGCACAGCCAAGCCCCTAACCAATCAGAACACACCTCCACCCAATCAGAACACAACCAAGTTCCCACCCAATCAGCTCACACCCCCACTAGCAGTTAAAAGGAAGAGACAGCTGCGATCTCACATTGCTCCTGGAAGCACGAAGCCGAGAACACCAGCCTGAAGATGATGAATGAGACTTCGTCGAAACGTTGCCAAGACACTTCCAATTTTACGTGGGAGAAGACCCGAATAACCAAAGACCTACATACAAACACCCGCGAAAACCTGAGAAAACATATATATATATATATATATATATATGTATGTAGTGTGTATATATATATATAAATTGATTATATATAAATTGATTATATATAAATTATATATATATATAAATATATATATATATATTATATATATATAAATTGATCCATCCAGAACTGCTGGCTGTGCTCCAAGAGACATTTTCAAAATCTTGGCCCTTAGCTATTGCCAAATAAATAAATAAAAATACACAACCATCCCTGTTTGTAACCAGTACGCAGGGCTTCCCACGAACAGGAAGGTACGAAGTTCTGAAATGCATCAAGCTGCATTTTCTCATTTCAGCCATATCTGAAATAACTTGCTTTTTTTTTTTTTACAATATTCAAATGTCCTAAGTGGTTATAAAGAAAGATATAAAAATGAAAAGAAAGCAATTTAAATACTGCAGCTAATTAAAAGAAATTCCTATCGTATGAATGACAGCGCCTTAGAAGAGCATAGAAACAGCATTAAGTAACACAGAGATAAAAAGCAATTTAAGTATTAAGTATAAACACCCCCTTCAGATCACTGCTCAGTGAAAGCAAGGAAGGAAGGAAAAAAGAAAGGAAAATTCTCATTTGGCAAATAACGTGTGCCTGGCTTTAGATAAAAGTATTTTATCTATTTTAAATACCACATAAGCACTGTGGTGGTAGGAGCATCAGGGCCTGTGACTCCTAAGCTGGGAAAATAGCTCCAAAAGATCCCAGGAACAACATTGCAAAAGAAATCTCAGCATCCTTTCGGCTAGTTGTCAAATTTTCCCATCTACATCTGAATTTTTTTCTTCCTTCCTTCCTTCCTTCCTTCCTTCCTTCCTTCCTTCCTTCCTTCCTTCCTTCCTTCCTTCTTTTTTCTTTCCTTTCCTTCCCTCTTTCTTCCCTCCTTCCTTTCTTCCTTTTCCTCCCTCCATTCCTCCCTCCCTCCCTCCCTCCCTTCTTTTTCCTTCCTTCCCTCCGTCCCTCTCTTCCCTCTCCTTCCTGTCCAGAGGAAGTTGTTGTTGTTGTTAGTTGTGAAGTCGTGTCCGACCCATCGCGACCCCATGGACAACGTTCCTCCAGGCCTTCCTGTCCTCTACCATCCTCTGGAGTCCATTTAAGCTCACGCCGATTGCTTCAGTGACTCCATCCAGCCACCTCGTTCTCTGTCGTCCCCTTCTTCTTTTGCCCTCCATCGTTCCCAGGTTTAGGCTCTTCTCCAGGGAGTCCTTCCTTCTCATTAGGTGGCCAAAGTATCTGAGTTTCATCTTCAAGATCTGGCCTTCTAAGGAGCAGTCAGGGTTGATCTCCTCCCAGAGGAACTAGGGATAACTAAAAGTTTATGATTCAGAATTTTTATTTCATTTCATCATTAGGTCTCTCTTTCATTTCTCTGAAAGGTTGTGATTCAATATTTGGTTCCTGTCCATGTAAAAAGTCTACCTTTCCTGCGGATCTTTGGAAGATTACCAAGAGAACCCCACCATTTTGTTCTAAGAGACTGAAGCATCCTTGCCTGGTCTTCTTAAAACTCCTGTTTCTTAAGGAAGCAGAAGAGAAATAAAATGTCAAACAAACCGAAGGGATCCGTGCCACTTTTAATTAAAGACGAAAGCTGCAAGCTTAATCTACAAAAGAAATAACTGAAAGGGTGAGCGAGCTGATCTTCATAAAGCCCATCCTTCAAATTCATAAATTCCCCTCCATTGTTCACACAGAGCCAAAACTGCAGTCAGAAAAAAAAGCTGGAACAAGTTCGCGGATTTATTTAATTAATTTATTTTTTTCTTCCCAAGCCAGACAATTACTGGAGCAACAGGCAATTTGTAAAATGGCATTTTAGAGAGGCCTCTTATATAGATTTCTGATCGTTTTCTAAGTGCAAGAGTTTTCCTCGGCGCTATTTAAAATTTCATTCTGCATGGAACCGTGGGCCAATTTGAATTCTCCAATGTCGTTAGCCCGGAGTTGCTACGCGTGCATTCTCGCTCTGCCAAGAGAGATTTCTTTCTTCCTTGTTCGAGTATATCTGCGGAGTTAGATGTTTGTATCCGTGCATAAAAGAAAAAAACAAACAAACAGCTGAGCTATGACTAAGTATCTTGAGCCACAGGGTTAAAAAAAACCAAAACCCTATCCTACAGTAAAAGGTAAAGGTTCCCCTCGCACATATGTGCCAATCGTTCCTGACTCTAGGGGGCGGTGCTCATCTCCGTTTCAAAGCTGAAGAGCCAGCACTGTCTGAAGACGTCTCCGTGGTCACGTGGCCGGCATGACTCAACGCCAAAGGCGCACGGAAAACGCCATTCCCTTGCCACCAAAGGTGGTCCCTATTTTTCTACTTGCATTTTTTTAACCTGCTTTCGAACTGCTAGGTTGGCAGAAGCTGGGACAAGTCACGAGAGGCTCACCCTGTTACACGGCACTAGGGATTCGAACCGCTGAACTGCCGACCTTTCGATCGACAAGCTCAGCTTCTTAGCCACTGAGCCATCGCATCCCTGGGTAATAGGAAGGAATTATTATTATTATATTATTATTACTATTACATCCTACAGTAGTAGGAAGGAATATTCTCTAGCGAATATCTCTGTTGACTTATTCCAGAGAGTCCAACAGCTCATAGCTCCAGAAAACACTTCTGGATTCACTGAACAGAATGATCTCATCAACTTTCTAAGAACGCCCAAGAAAGATAGCATTTCCAAGGATTATTGATTGATTCGGATTCCTCCCACATACACTTTCAGATCAATTTCAGCTTCTCCTCTCTCAAAAAAGAACACCTGTTGACATAACGTGGCTTGGAAGCCGGCATGATAGACATCTCTTTGCACACCGAGCGTGGCCAATTATTTTCCTCCTTCAAAAATATTTGAGGGGCTGCCCCAAAGAAGAAGGGAGGGGGTCAACCTCTTTTCCAAAGCACCTGAAGGCAAGACAAGAAGCAATGGATGGAAACTAATCAAGGAGAGAAGCAACCTGGAATTAAGGAGAAACTTCCTAACAGTGAGGGCAATTAACCAGTGGAACAGCTTGCCACCAGAAACCTGCCCCCCCCATCGCTGGATGTTTTTAAGAGGAGACAGTCACTTATCTGAAATAGTATAAGTTCTCCTGCTTGACCAGGGGGCTGGAATAGAAGACCTCCAAGGTCCTTTCCAGCTCCTTCATTCTATTTGAAATTTCCGGTGCCAAAGTGCTTGGTTGAGGACAAGTAGACTTCTCAGATCTTCTCTCCCTGAGGACTGCTTAGAATAAGAAGGAGCCGGGGAAGATCACGCAGGTTTTCGGTTGGCTTGGAAACTCTTGCACTCACAAGTAATTTGAGTGTCTGCTGTAAGCAAAGGAGCCCAGAACAATGCTTAATGGCTCCACGTATTTCCCTCTTAGCTTTATGATTCCTGAGACAGCTTTGCGCCCAAGCGAGAATGAGAAGAGAAATCAATGGAGGAGCCTTTCAAAATACAGAAAAGGGATTATTTGTTGCCATAGTAATGCTTATTTCAATGTAATTATTTTCCTTTGCATCGATACGAAACATTAATTTCAAGAGGGCCTCTTTAAGAAAGGATTGTGCTATAGTATATCACATGCCAACTGTGCTCCATTGCTGTACCCCAAAGTCATATCTGAATTATGGAAGGGTGACATGATAGCAGCCTTCCAGTGTTTGAGGGGCTGCCACAAAGAAGAGGGGGTCAACTTATTCTCCAAAGCAGGACAAGAAGCCACGGATGGAAACTAATCAAGGAGAGAAGCAACCTAGAACTAAGGAGGAATTTCCTGACAGTTAGAACAATGAATCAGTGGAATGACTTGCCTTCGGAAGTTGTGGAGGCTCCATGACTGGAAATTTTTAAGAAGAGATTGGACAGCAAGGTTAATGTCAGACCAACAATCAAGTAAACAATACCCCAATTGAGAAACTGCCGAAGAGCCATCAATAAACAGCCCAAACAAAGAATCTCTAAGATGGGAAAATGGGAAGTAAAAGTCACTTAACAAATGTCTCACTTACCAACAGAAAATTTGGGCACAATGCTCACCATAAGTCGAGGACTATCCATAGAGACACAGAAGTTCCTTTCACACGGGAAGAAAACGTTCGGAAATGTGGAACGCGAAACTTGGCCAAACTTTTTGTCAGCAATGGTCACTGAAATTCCGTTCTGTAGTGCAGATCTTAGTACTTCAAGAGCCCATTTTTTGAAGACTTCAATCTGTGAAAGAACATAATCTTGCAACTAAATATGTGTGTAGCTGACGAAACTCTGGGAAAAGAATGTTCCATGATAGAAACAGGTCAACTGCTACGAACTGACTCAGAATAACAGAGTCGGAAGGGACCTTGAAGGTCTTCTGGTCCAAACCTCTGCTTGAACAGGAGACCCTATACCATTCCAGGCAAATGGTTGTCCAATCTCTTCTTGAAGACCTCCAGCAATGGAGCACCCACAACTTCTGGAGGCAAGTCGTTCCACAGGTTAATTGTTCTCATTGTCAGGGAATTTCTCCTTCATTCTAGGTTGTTTCTCTCCTTATAGCTTAAATAAGACATACGCCAGCTGAAGATGAAGGAAGA